AATTCTAGATCCGAATTTCAAAAATTTTATGTTTTTAAAAGACGTAGCAAATGATGATATATATAAAACAATTTTAAAAATGCAAATTTTTTTTTATTATCTGTTTTATTAAATAAATCTCTTTATTGAACGTTAAAAGTAAAACATACATACGTAATTTAAAATATATATTAAAAATATCATGTAAACTATTTGTAAAATAAAAACTATATAAAAACTGTATTAAATAAAATTAGTATAATAAATTGTATGTTGGGTGGGAGGAGGTCAAAAAAGGGAGCCGTGGATGGCAAAGTTAGATCTGCATATATCAATAGATACACACTGACGAAGATCGAAGCCTTCCTGTGGGTCACCAGTGATGCCTCAATTTTTTTATCAAAGGATTTGAAGAAGGTTAGGGCATGATTGCCAAAAAAACCGGTTGTATCGGATACAATTGGTATGAGATTGCAATTAGTTAGGGAAATATATTTATTAATTTTAGAGTTTTCCGCTCGCACGAATGAGTTGTTACTAAACGAGGGAGCGAATCGGTCAATGCAAGTATAATCCCATGCTAATGGAGTTCCGTTACTCCAAGGTATTAAGGTCAGCCCATCTGGCCGTATACTATTTTCAGTTGAGAGGCCACAGGGTTCAAGGGTTGCGGGAATTTGAGCTGAGCGTAGAGCGCGGAGAATGGTGCCGTTAACTGCACTGTGTCGAGAATGTCTACCTTTAGAGAATCGTCAATGAAGAGGATGATGTCCGAAACAATTTACGGGTTGAGAAAATACTGACATGTGGAGTTGGCCAGTATTTTACAACCAAGACGGAGACCTATTGCTATGCGTAATTCTTCGTTTGTTAAGAAGTCCTATGATATAAAATTAGATATGCATAAGTCAATGCTAACAATCATTAATAACTTTTCTAATTCTTCCTGCACACATAAAAAAATAGTATATTCTAAATGAAACATTTGGACAATTTCTAGATGACTCTGAAGTAGTGATCTGCATCGGGTCTAATTTTTCAAGCCCAGCCCGGCCCGAAATTTTTTTTAAAAAAGTTTTGCCGGCCCGGCCCGAACCCGAAATTTATTTTAAAAAAATTTACCAGCCCTGCCAGGCCCGAATTTATTTAAATATATAAATTAATTTTTATAATTACTTAAAATAAAAGACATATGTTATATAGGGTTTAGTTTCAATAAATTAAATCAAAAATTTTTATTTTACATAAAAAATTCAATATAAAATTGATAAATTTAGATATATTTAATCAAATTTCCAAGGTCCAACCCGACCCGATTTTTTTTAAAAAAGATTAGGCCCGGCCCGGCTTGCTCCCGATTATTTTAATTAGAATTAGGCCCGAGCCCGGCCCAAAGCCAGTTCGGGCCGGGTCGGACCGGGTAGGGCCGGGCCTAACTTTGCAGATCTCTACTCTGAAGCATTAACATCTACAGATGAGAGTTGTAATTGTAAGGATGAACTTAAAAGGTTCATCGCTCATAAAACAAATAACAATGACAATTTTTAAGTTAGGAAGGAAAATTCATTTCCTTTTTTTGAAAAAATTAGCTAGTAAAATTTTGTCAATCCCGGTATTTCGATTTCTAGTGAAAAATTATTTAATATTGCCAATAGCTTATTAGAGGAAACTCAAACACAATTGAAATAAAAAAACATGGACATTTTTTTTGTATTTAGTCATCATTTACATTTTATTCATTTTTATTTATCAATCGTAATACAAGGAAGTCGTGAAAGGATAAGTGATGTCAATAATATATTAGGAAGTTAACCAACACCTATTATATTAATCGTAAATATATATATATAATCATATCTAAATGACGAAAACACATAATATGTAAATCGAATATTACAATAAATTAATCCTTTACTACAATTTTTTTTTCTAAATAAAAATTTTAATTTATAATTTGCAATTATTTTGTGTTATTAATATGAAATTAGAGAAATAAAAACTACGAAAGAATAAATTCAAAAGGTAAAAATATAGCTATAAAGTTTTAAAAAATTTAAAAACACAGAGTAAATTTTTGGGCGTGACGGGCCAAATATAGTTTTTTATGGCGAATCTGGTCAAAATATTTTAGTAGTAAACGTGAAAGGGTGTGAATTTTTTTTATTACCACCATGAGTGGGCTGGCCATGAATAAAAAATTAGGCCCACGCCCACCTCTATAAATTAGGTGGTTTAGACTTTTTTGTCACTCAATCTTTTATCATTTTCATCATTTTTATCCCAGATTCAAACAATTCTATGATTTTCGGCTTTATATGCCGTGCCGATCGTTATTAGCTGACGCAATTAACAAATGGAAGACTAATATACCCATTAACACTCATTTACCATCACTCATCACACAATAATTTTTCACACCTTTAATTTCGAAATACCATACCGATATATCAGTCAACCCACCTTTAGATTGCATTCAACTTGCAATCATTTGACAGACTTCGCGGCCATAAATGATTAGATCCCTTTCTACACATAACCTTGGTAATCTCTTATCAGACGCAGATAGTATTAGTTTACGACTAGGTTGTGACATCGTACAGCCTCATCTTGAATCAAATGCAAATCATTCGTTGATTTAAAATGTAGACACGACCTAATTGTATAGTCAAGGGCGACATCAGTGCCACACAGCAATAAACCATGTAATAAATTAAGGTCCAACAGTCCCCCAATATTCTAAACCATCTTGAACCCACAAATTTATGTTAATTCAATGGCTTAAGACCTGCTAGTATAACAACCATGCCTTGGGCTCTTGGAGAAGCACTAATATGAGACCTCACATGCGTTTCTTCATTCCCCTCTAACATAAATATCATTCCACTAACTCAAGCAGAAACAAGGAAATTAACAAATACAAAAATTTTAACAACTTCCTATTTACTCCAATAGTTACTTTCACAAACGGCCATTTTGCCATTAACATATAAATTTTTTTTAAATCTAGGCATTAAAATTAGGCTTTTTTTACATACGAAGCCAAAGAATTTTATGTGCCAAAAAATTCAAATAAAAATTTATATGCATAATTATGGTTCCTTTTTTGGGAACTCAATTATAAAATTGTATTCTTAATTATTATTATCATAAAAACAAATATATATATAATATACAATGTTCAATATACATATATTAGTAATAAGAAAAAAAAACAAAGAGAAAAAAAAGAGGGGGGGGGGCACAAAAAGTATTGAAAACTAATCATCTTGTGTGATGAGGGTGCCTATGAAGCTAATGTAATTAGCCTTGTGTATCGCTAAGGGTAGTCTTTGTCTTAAGAAGAATTTTTCGCGAGGTTCATCCGTAAGTTTGCGTATATGAGAGCTAAGTTCCTTGAAAGATAAAGCACATTTCCTAAAAGTTGTAACGGTAGTGGAAATAAGGAGAATGAATATGTATTCTTGAGAAATTTCGGAATATTTAGCTATTTTAAGTGACTCCTTTTTCTCAAAAATGTAAGGGTTTGATTGGATGTATATTATTTAGAGTTGTTAACGCTCCTTTTTAAAAGTAGCTAGCTCCCGCTTTTACCTTCTTAAAAGGTGCTAGCTCTCAAAAGGAGCTAGATCAGAGTTGTTAACGCTTCTTTTTAAAAGTAGCTAGCTCCCGCTCCTACCTACTCAAAAGGAGCTAGCTCCCGCTCCCACTACTACATTTTTAAAAGGAGGTAGCTCCCGCTCCAAGTAATGGAGTGCCACTCCATAACCGCTCCTTTGATTTCATTTTTCAGAAGGCACGAAACAAAATAAAAATATTTATAATCTTTTTTTAGCCTTTAAAAGTAATATATTTTCTAAATTAGAATCTAACAAACATCCACGCCTCTTCCCTAAGACCTGTTTTGCAATACCAAATAAGCGCTCCATAGGAACACTAGAGGGAAGCGGGGTTTTGTATTTTATAAAGATATTTTTTAATTCAGGTATAAAAAAGGAGGTTGAACAAGTAATGAGAAAATTAAAATAAATATTAAAATATATTTAAAAAAGCATCATAAATAACATCCCAAGCTAAACTATAATGAATTCCCCAAAAATAATATTAACCATTTAAAAAAATTTTTTCCAAAATAAAAAAATATAGTTTTCATTTCGTAAAGAAAGATTTTTTACTTTTAGTTGCTATTTTAGATTGGAGCTGCTCACTTTTGAAAATGAAATACTTTTACTTAAACACAAAAGGCATTTTGCCCTTAAATTTGTTTGATCAATTGGATCAACATCTTTTGGAAGTTTAAAATATTTTTTGTATGATGGAAATGGAAATTCGATTTATTCTTCTATGATCTCTAAATCCATAATATCGAAAACTATTTTTTATTATATATCTATAAAATGAATATTAATATGACTTACAAGATTTTCCACAAAATTTTCAATATAAAAATGAAAAACCTGATGTGTAATATTTAAATGATTAGAAGAAACCCCAATATAAAACTCGGCTCAACATTTAATAATGAATAAATTTAAATAAAATAAAATTATATTTTTATCGAATTTTAATTAACAAATATTATTAATATTTAAAAAATAATTTAAGTTATACCTTAAATTTAAAGGAGTGGTGGAGTGGCGCTCCTCCACTCGCTCTTAACAACTCTGAATTTTTTATTTTATAGTGTTTTAAATATGTTGAAAATTTTAAATAAAATTAATTTAATAAAAAAAAAGAAATGAATATACACGGATTAATCCGTGGAAGTTAGCTTGCTTTTTTTTGAATAGAAAATATTAATTTTTTATGACATCAATTCAAACATAGGTGTGAAATATCATAGTGGTATAATTTTATAAAAAGAATCAAAAACTATAAATCACATGATAAAAAAAAATAGATGAGAATTATTACTAAACGAACAAATAATAACATTTACCTTACTTTTTGATATCACATTTTCATGGGCACATGTCCATAAATATCAGAGACCTGCAGAGGTAGGGGAGACCAGAGATGGTTGGGACATTTTCTGTTCAAACCTTAATAATTTTAATATTAATAGACTAATCTGAATAATTAAAACATCTTCTGAATCCCAGAAGTATAGGCTATTTGAAATAATTAATATATATTATATGAAAATTATATTTTTTTAGAAAATTGAATTTAAAAAAAAACTTTTTTTTGTCCCACAACCATGACAGACTCTGTGTACGTTGGGACACAACATATGTGATAGTTGGGACACTCATGAAATAGAGGTCTAAATAAATTTAAAAATTTTAAATCAGTAATCCAGTAATACTAGAGACTATGACACATTTGATTTTATTGATAATATTGAAATTCATAATCAATAACTATATAAAAAAAATTTTAGCAAAATTTACAAAATTTACAAAATTTATATTGGTAAAAAAAAAATTGTAAAAAATTATTATATTTTATTGCTACTTGATAAGCTAATTCTTTAACCTAAATAAAATACATAATATATAAATTAAAATGATCTATAAAAAAATTTAAATTATGAAAAATAGGATTATCGATATCATTATGATAAGTCTATAAACAAGTTAAAAAAAGTATGAAATGAACATATTATTAATTTAATATTGTGATTAATGATATTCATTTAAATGATGAGATGAGAAACAAGTTAATAAATTTTAATGAAATGAATATTTTAAATGTTTGATTATTCACAATACCAAATGATTCATTATTCACATTGCTAAATAATAATTTTAAATGATTCATTATTAACAATACTAAATGATTCTTTACATTGGCGTACGCAGCGGGGGGTGGGAACAGGGGGACAAATCCCCCCCCCCCCCCCCCCCACCCAAAGGCAAAAAATGCAGATGCCGGATATATTTTTCAAAAATATTTTTGTTTAGATTGTTGTGCAGATTTAGTTTAAACATTTCCATATTTTTTAATTCATTTGTAAATAAAAATTTTAACTTGTAAAAATTGATTAGAATATATAAATATGTTATTTTAACAACTTTTTACAAGTCAAATAATTTTATTTTCAAATAAATTAATAAATATGGAAATGTTTTGAATTAAATTTACACAGTACACATTAATTTATATTTGTTAATATTTATTCCTATCTCATATTAAATATATATTTAATTACATATATTATCACATTCATAACTAAGTTTATCAATTAATTTCGATTTCAAGTTTTCCGGCGTAATATTATCTTATTATTTTCAAATTTTTAGTGGCGTAATATTTATCTACCATTTTTAAGTTTCTAGTCAAATAATAATTATTCTGAAATTGTCCAACAGGGAGAAAGAAATTGCAACCTTGTCTTACGAGATAGAGTCTCCGCCATCAAGCAGTAACAGCTTTTATGGAGTTAGAAGAGCCGATTATTTGCTATTACTGACATATCACAATGGCCTGAAAGAAATTTTTCCTTAGAAGCAAGAAAATTATTGGATTCAATGTTTATTCCAAATTTTTTTTCTCATTAGAATGTACAACTATTTTATGTATTACTTTTCAAAAACATGATGACTTGATTAAGAAGATGAGAATAGCGGAGAGCATTTTATTAGAATTCAAGGAAATTAGGGCTAATGTTTATGAAGAATTTCATGTTTTATATGTTATTGTTAAGTCAAAAGCAGAGCTATACGTGTTTAATATTTGTCTCACTCGACTTGCAGCAAGCAAGCTCATAGTTAAAACATTAATATAGGATCAGTAGAAGAGTATATCTTAGATACAAATACATTTATAAACCAAATAAATGAATGGTTTTTAATTCATTATGCAGCACTTACCAATCTGCAAATATTATTTCCATAAAAGCCTTCTCAACCTTTCTCAGATGGTGATAGGAAAAAAATATTTGTTGGATTTTTATCATGAAGATGTTAAAGTATCTTATGATGCCTTATTAGCTGAATAACTATGTTTATAAGATTAACTATGGTTGATACGTACCAAAAAATGCTATGGATGTTCTGCATTATTTCAAACACATTTTAGATTATATTCTCTCTCAATGTATTAAAAGGGTTCATATATATTAGCAACTCCTCCCAATAGTAAACTAATGAGAGAACATTCTCTTTTTTAAGAAGAATAACAGAGCTCTGCAGAGGTACCATTTGCAGGGCACGACCCGGATTTTTTTAAAGATTTTTACGGCTAAGCTCAATTTTCAGGCCCGGCCCGGCCTTTTTTAAAATAAAATTTTCAGACCCGACCCAGATTTTTTTAAAATAAATTATATTTATTTTTGATTTTTATAGCTAATAATAACGATTTCAAATATAGGCTGTTTTAAAATATACAGCCCGGCCCGTTTCAGGCCCGGCTTAGATGTTTTTTTTAAAAATTCAAGCTCAGCCTGGGTGTTTTTTTTAAAAATTTCGGGCTCGGCCATACGGTCCGGCCCGGAGGCCGGGCCTGCAGGTCTCTGAAAAACATACCAAGAAGTACAACTTAAAGTAGATTGAAAGGTTTGGATCTTTGAATATTCATAGGCATTTGACAACAAGCAAGGATGAGATATTGAAAAATTAGCTCAATCCCAACGAAGATTGGATTTTACATTGTAAATATATAACATACAAAATACAATTATTTCCAAAGCTTTTTGTATATTAATTTATATTTCTAACATTTAAATTTTTTATATTTTATATATAAATTTTAAAGCTCAATAATTTCAAATTTCTATTTTGGGTCATTTAGGTGATTCTTTACATATAATTTTTTTATAATTCACATTAATTTAAATTAGAAATAGTTATTAGTCCTAATAAATTTATGCTTGATATTTTTAAAAAAACAATAATATTTCTTAAAAAATTTTATTATCCCCCCCCCCCCCCAGACCAAATTCCTGCGTACGCGTATATATCTTTATTCGCAACACTTAATGATACATTATTCACAATACTAAATAATTCATTATTCACAATGCTAAATTAATAATTTTAAATGATATTCATTATTAACAATACTAAATAATTTATTATTCACAATACCAAATGATTCTTTATTCACAATATTAAATTATTCATTATTCACAATACTTAATTAATAATAAAATTTATTAACTTGTTTATAGATTCTCATTGTGAATAATGATATTATTTTAAATGATGAGAAATCTGATAAGAATAAATAAATTTCATTAAGCCTCTAAAGGAATAGAATATAATTTTACTTTAATCATTGCATATATTTAATTAAAATCTAGTAATTAGATGCTCTTATTTACTTTTTTTTTGGTAAGTCCATAAAATTTTTTAGAGGATTTTATTATGTAATTAGCTATATTTTCTCCTCCACTTTATTGAAATCACATTTGTGATTTGAATATCCCATTGTGGGTTGAATTATTTTCATTTACCTCTTTTTTGATAAATATCTTTCTATATTAGATTTTGGAATGCCTAAAAAATATATATAATAATATAAATAATCTTACCTGTAAGTAATGATAACTTTCTGACTGAAATGGATATAAAATTAAAGCATTTTCATACTCTTCTGTACAGAAGATTTTTCTATCCTTTTTATTGTAATTCCGCATCACTAGTAAATGATAAAATGAGCTAAAATGGCGTGTCCCAACTACACTATGACCAACTATGACCGAGCCCACTAACTTTATAAATATCATCCAAAATCATATTAATTCATGTTTATTGATTCTGAAGGTTTGCCAGATTGGAAAATAGGGCATAAACTTTCCTAAAATCTATATATTATGATTTTTAAAGCTTTACTTATAAATAAAAACGATAAAGTTTGCAAATATTTTTTATTACTTTTGGTATGCCAAAACACATTTTATTCTGTAAAAATTATAATACTAAATATTTTTCAAATCTTTTTTAGCCAATCATGTATGGCGTAATTATCTATGTTAGGCTCAAATTTCCAGTCTTATAAAATAATAGCTCAAATTATAATTAGAGTGTCCTAACGTTCCCCTGTACTCAATGTACCCCGGTCTCCCCTACTATTTGCACGACCTGACCCGGTTCGTATATGAAAAAAACATTATTCTGCCCTGCCAGGATTTTTTTTCAAAAAATTTCTTCTCTTTTAAAAAAAAATTCGGTCAGGATCTGTATATTTTTTCCTATGGCCATGGTTTGTAAAAAAACAGATCGTTTTTCAGCAAATATGAAATCCATATAACAGAACTTTACAAACTATTTTATCTCCCCATTTGTCATAAAAGAAGTGAACTTGAATTACCACACTTTCAATTCGATTAGTTCTTGGTAATTCCATTATTTCAGGTTCCTCTTGTAATTTAATAATTTAATATATACTTATATAATTATCAATCATTTTATGCTTTCTCCCTGGCAACCTGAATTTAGGATAGAGAAAAAGAGAGATAAAATGATACTTATCTAAAATAAAATTTTTCTGTAATTTAAATATTGAATATATCTTTGTTGCTTTTAATTTGATTGAATATCACCTAAAATAATGATTAGTTGAATAATTAATTTGAATAACGTTGTATTATAAATATTTCCTAAGGATCGAAAAAATGGAAATAGGAAATATGATAAGTGACTAAGTTCTATGATACACAATTTTAAAATGTATCTTATAAACGATTTAAAATATTCAGCCCAGCTCCAGTATTTAAAAAATAAAATTTCTAGGTCCGTCCCGGGTATTTAAATACAAATTTTAGGCTTGCCCCTGCCCGGGTATGTTTAAAAAATAAAATCGGCCCGGGCCGGGTTTGTAAGTCTCTGATAAATATTTATTCTTATATCTATTATAAAGAATAAATATACAAAACTTGTTCTTAAATATATGCATAAAATTAAATTCTTAAATAAAGTTTTGTTTGTTTTAGTAGAATTTCTTGGCAACTGAATGATTATCAGCGGTGGGTGGGACAGTTTGCCTTTAACCGGATGTTTTCATTATGTCTAAATTAGAATATTAATACGTCAATAGTATAATATACAATTCGTAGACGATTTTGTACTTGTAATATATTTTTTTATAAGAAATGGAATAATTTGTTGCGAAGTAAAATTTATTTCTATAAAGTTATATGTTCGTTATGATAAAGTAATCTATTAATATTAATTTCAAATTTACTTAAAAAATTTTCCAGATAAGCCAGATTCCCAATTTTTATCGATTTGGAACACAAATGTTTAATCACCGCAATCATCACATAGAATTATCTGCATGGTTCAGGATGGCATTTTTTATGAATTTCTTCCAAAGACATGCAGACGCGGTCCGGAACGGGATAATAAAATGGTAGTATTTTTAAAAATCTAGACTAGGATTAAAGATTTAAAAATTTGGGCTGGGCATAAAAAGTGAAAAAAATTAATAATCCTCAACGCCGCTTTTTAAATAAATTTAAATTATGTCAATTAATCAGTTTGAAGGGATAATTGAAAAAAAACCTATTCAGACGCATTATTTATTATTATTTT